CCCCAAAACCCCAAAACCCCAAAACCCCAAAACCCCAAAACCCCATTGCTAATTCGAATCGTAAAGGAATTTAGAGCTTGCTAATAAATCTCTCCTTCCATTTAGAGAGATCCTTTGTGCCGAATATCCCGTTGTATACTATTTCTCCATGAAGAGGCATAAATTTGAACCCGGTCCCTGAAAATCCATATGCATAATGAACTCCGCTTGCATCCTTTTTGTATTGGAATTCATAGCCTGGTGTGTTTGTAAAAAAACATGGTACTCCATACTTGAGTTTTGATTTTAAGGTGGGATATCTTTCTGCTAAATACTCAAGCATTATCTCATATTTTCTTCCATAATAATTTCCAATTTTGTATGTCATTTTCTCTCCATCTGGTTCAAAAGTTCCGTAAAATATACCTCCATCTGGTAGGTATTCATGGAAAGTAGGTGGGAGACCTTCAACAGGATTGAAAATATAGTATTCAACTGCCTTTTTCTCTGACTGAAATTTTTTGTCAAAATATTCTTTAGTTTCACATCCGGTGCAGAGGACCACATTCTCTCCAAAATATTCATCGCCATTCTCCAAAGTCACCGAGTTCTTAGTAGCTTTAACAACTTTAGTGTTATACTTCACTGTTACACTCTCGTGGTTGGTTAAATACTCTGACAGGAGCTTCATTATTTTGGCAGAATAAATCCATCCAGAACAATTATCAATAATTCCAATATAATCTTCAGGAAGATTTTTAATTGCTGGATAATTCTTCATGATTTCTTCAGAGTTTAGGACTTTATACTCTTTTCCCATTACATGAGAATCAGCCTCCTTTTCTTTTAAAGATATCAAAATAATTTCTTCGTCTATTTTCATTTGCTTTAAAATATACTGAATGGATTCATGATCTTTAGGTCCCATATTTAGCATACTTTTAGTGACAAGAAGTTCTTCTCCAAATTCCTGCTCAAGCTCTTTCCAGAGGCTTATTGATTTATACATCATTTCATTGAGAAGTTTATTAGGGTGGCTTGTCCGCCATATCCTAGCTAGGCCATGAGAAGAAGTTCCTAGCATACCAGACTCTATGTGTTGTTCAAGTGCTATAAGCGAGCATATCTCAATTTTTAATTACCTAATACTTTAAGACCATTCTTGGCACATTGATATGCAGTAGAAAGGCCGACGCAGCCGAGGCCAACCACGATTATATCATATCCTGACTCCATTTAATGCTATATTGTCAATATTCATTGAACATTACGGGGTTTTGGGGTTTTGGGGTTTTGGGGTTTTGGGGTTTTGGGGTTTTGGGGTTTTGGGG